TGAAACAACAAACTATTAAAACAGTCATTTGGATCTGCAACTAATAGTGTATCAATGATGTGCAACTCTTTGACTGCTGGCTCCTTGTTTGTCAGTGTGTCTCTGGCACAGACAGCTGGCAGAGGGTAAACACAGAGATCCCAGTCAAGTCTCCTCGATTTGCTCTGTTCGATCTCGCTGAAGGGAAATCCTACAGGTTCCGCGTCCGCTGCTGCAACTCTGCCGGTGTCGGTGAACCTTCTGAACCAACGGAGGCCACCACAGTTGGTGACAAGCTTGGTCAGAAAAACATACAGTACATGCATGTACTAATAAAAGCAGCAGTGTTCAGTCACTGACCCTAAAACCTGACCTCGTTCCGGTCCACAGATATCCCACCTGCACCAGGCAAAGTTGTTCCCAGTAGAAACACAGACACGTCAGTCGTTGTGTCTTGGCAAGCATCCCATGATGCCAAGGAGCTGGTTGGATACTACATTGAGGGGAGTGTTGTGGGCAGCAATGTGTGGGAGCCATGCAACAACAAGCCTGTAAATGCTACCAGGTGAAATCACACCTAATATTTTCTGCAATAGATTTGACAGGTTCATACAATTGCATTGCCACAATTACATTTGATCCAATATTTTCTGCAGGTTCATCTGCCACGGTCTGACAACAGGAGAGAAGTATGTGTTCAGGGTGAGAGCAGTGAACGCTGCAGGAATCAGCCAGTTCTCCCAGGAGTCTGAACCTGTGGAGGTGAAGGCTGCTATCGGTGAGTACGTCTGTACATCTAAATACAAGAAGCTCATGTCTGAGGGTACTGGGAACCGCAGTTTATCAGAATCAGAAGAATTATCATGTTGTTTTTTCATTCAGATTGGTGGCTTAAAGAAAAAAAATCCATGTAAAGGATTAACTGTATTAATGTTTAAAAAGAGACACATTTCTGAGTCCATTTTTCTGTTAGCGTATATTTTTATAAATATTTAATTTTACAACAGCTATTTAAGCTATCTGTGATGCTAACAGTATAGATCAGATTTTAATGTCACTCTTTCAGAATCATAAAGAAAAACAGCTTCTATGTAGACCTTTTTTATACCAACATTTTTTTTATCATATCATTGCAGATACAATAGATAATGCTCTCTCCATTTAAGTATTTTTGTGAGTAATAAGAAAGAAACACAGTCAACACATATTTTAAACTTTTTTGGGTATCCATCTCAAATTGGAAAAACATGATGTCTTAATTTTAGCATAATATTGCCAATAAAATGTTCACTCCAAAGAGGACGTATCACTACAAAATGGCTTATGGAACACACGAGACATCATAGTCTGATTTGTTAAACTTTCATTTAAAGTCAAGATCAGTTGTTGGGAAGATGCTACAATGTTAATGCAATAATTAACATTTGTTTTGGTATGAGGCTATTATTGATCTCTTGAGACGTGTCTTCAGCTGTTTTTAGCGTCTATAGACCCACACTTTCTCCACCCTGTCTGCACTGCTGTGTACCCCACCTCCCCACCGCCCTGTCCAGCCACATCTATCCCCCCACCTCCTCCTCCCTGCACAGCCTGAGTCAGGTTCAGGGGCAGGACTTGTAGACTTCCTTTAATTTGGATCAGTGTGATCCAACTCAGTGGTTGTTACAACCCAGCCCAGCTTCACACACCACCGCCACCCACATCTCCACCATTATCCCCCACCTTTCCTGAGCAGAAGATATGTCAGCAACTAGAGGAACCCATACATGCACCTGTTCCACCCCACTGGTACGCATGAAGTGCACTAAATTTCTTTGGCTTAACATCCGTGTTAGCCGCTAACATGGCTGTGGTGTTGTTTTGTTTGATGGCTAACTGAATTTTAATGACTAGACTATTTACAGAGACAGGCAGAGAGACCGTTTAGATAAAAATACACACAGATTATTGACATTTACTTCACATCATATTGTGCTCCCAGATTGTGCAACTTTTTATGTGACTGTGCAGATAAAAACCACGTTTGTGATATTTGGGTGGTGGCGATGACACTTATTTAACTTTTGCAGTGGAAATCTGATTAAATGTGTAGGCACTGTTGCTAAAGTACAGTGGATTTTTATAAAGCCAGCATACACCCACACACACTGGCTGTTCTACTTCACTTACCCGCATGTTCTCACATCAAGCCTCCCCACGTGGATGTCACTTGTTGGTCATCTTGTCTTCATTTTTCACTCCCAGCCAGATGAAGACACTCTACTCAGTTTATAAGTTGATGTGATGTTTAGGCTTGTCTCTTGTTTTTGTGCTCTGACTGTTGCCTTTTCTCTGCTAACTCCTGTAGGGGGCGGCATCCCTCATGGTGTGTTGCCAGAGATGGGGACAGGGGGTAACGTGGGCCAACTAACCAAGCACAGGCCACTCTGGGCAGACGCGCATGGATCTGTCCATTCCCCTCCTGCCACTATGCAGAAGTGCAATATAAAAGCTCAGGCTGACACTGAAGCCAGGGAGGGGGCCAGGGCTTCTAGCTCAGGCCTCACAGATCTTGACCTCGTGAAGAGTAAATGCAAAGGGGGCGAGAAAGCCAGTGTGTCCTGCGCCCCTGACCTGGCAAAAGACCTGTTCTCAGAGTCTGTGTCAGGCTCAGTTTCCAACCCACTTACTGACATAGCTGCACACTTAGACCCAGCCACTGCCAGGGCTCAGGATCAGGCTGTAGCAACAGCCGGTTGTACTGAAGCCGGGCAGGTACGTAAGTTGTCTATAGATGCTTCTGCTAATCGGGAGACAGCAAGGCCCAGGAGTGAGCCGACAGGTGAGCAACACAGACAAAAAAACCTGGTCATCAAATCCAAACCTAAACAAAAAACACCATCACTTTTCCCCCTATTAGGATGAATGAAACTACTCTACCCAGACTTTCCAAGAAATAGGAGATGGACTGTTCACATTATGTCAGTTCTGCAAGGTTTTACATATGACAATTAATAACCAGTAAGTACTGTGCTCTACCGGTATTCTTTTCTTAAAGGTAAGTCACTGTGAAACACCACCGAATTTTAATTCAACACAGTCACGCTTGTCAGTAGTGTTGCTGGCCACCACTGTCCCACAGCCTTTTCACTTGGTGGCCTGGTGTCAGTCACTGGCACTTCAGGACCTGCCACCTCTCTGGGTACCCACAGCACTTTAACACACAAACACACACAGAAGTATGACCTGGCAGGAGATAGCTAGTCACAGCTTGTACTTGAAAAGTGGGTCATCCAACCAAAGGTGTGACCTGAGACTTTGTAGGGGACTGTGCAATTCTTCAAATGTCGAATTTTTGAGTTCTTGCCCCCATATATGGGAGGATATAAAGTTAACATAACCATTTGTGCATGATGGGCCAATTTATTACCAGCATGTTACATGATCCTGCTTTTGGAAAGATCTTTTTCTCACAGTCACTCCATCAACATACTTAGAAATCTTTGTTCCTTTGTTAGAATTTTGATACTACAAATGAGCAATGTGCATATGACTTAACCTTTCTATTTAGTAGTTTAAAGTAATAGTTCATCATTCTGGGAAGTATGAGAAGCTGGGTTTGAGCCCGGGCCATCCTGGGGCTTTTCTGTGTGGAGTCTGTATGCTCTCCCGGTGGCTGCGTGGGTTCTCTCTGGCTTCCTCCCGCAGTCCAAACACATGCAGCTTAGGTTGATTGGTGACTCTAAATTGTCTGTAGGAGTGAGTGTGTGTGGCTGTTTGTCTCTAAGTGTCAGCCCTGTGATGGACTGGCAACCTGTCCAGGGTGTACCCCACCTTTTGTCAGCTGGGATTGGCTCCAGCCCCCCCTCCACGACCCAATTCAGGAATAAGTGGTATAGATAATGGATAGATGGAATAATATTTAATGATAATTATTAAACTCATTAGATACACTTTTGTAAGAATTCCAAAGATCAAGGATTATAAATTCATTAAGCAGCTGTGCAGAAGTGGATAATAAGGTTTGGGACTATAACATGTCATCTAACTGTAAAGCTGCCTGTTCCCCTGTGTTAATGTGACTTTTCTGTCATCTCAGCCTCCCCTGCTCCACCCTATGGCATCACTGTCCTGGAGTGTGTGCGTGATTCTATGGTGCTGGCCTGGAAACAGCCAACCTTCATCGGTGGGGCTGACATCACTGGCTACTTTGTGGATTACCGTGAAGTGATCGATGGCGTGCCTGGGAAGTGGCACGAGGCCAATATCAAGGCTATCAGTGAGAGGGCCTACAGAGTGAGTAGATGTGAAATATGCCTCACAATCTAAGACTAGGTTTAAACTGATGTTGGCTTTAAAGACAAATTAGACAGTCTTATGAACAAGGTTGTGTCTCTCCAGGTGTCTGACCTGAAAGAGAACATGAAGTACCAGTTCCAGGTGCGAGCAGCCAACATGGCAGGTGTTGGCATCCCATCACTGCCCAGTGACACCTTCCTTTGTGAGGAGTGGACCATTGCTGTACCAGGTTGGTTAGACCACTTGTTTCACCTACTGAGAGACTTATGGACAACAAGCACAAAAAACCCTTTTGAAAACATTACCAAAGCAAGAAGATAAAATTAGCCATGCATACACAAAATGTTTATTTGTTCTTTTTTCCTTTTCCAAATAAATAGCAGTATTTTTACCTTTCAAGGGCCACTTCTTTAGCGTTAAAAAGAAATATACTGGCATAGGCCGGACAGGGGAAAGCTAACAAACTAGCTATTGAGCTGTCAATTGCAATTTTATACAAGTATGATAATAAATATCTGAGCATCCCTTGAAGGATGATTAATAACACAATCTGAACTATCAGAAGTGAGACAAAGACCTTATTTTATAAGTTATGAAACTTAATTTTAAATTCACTTCATTAAGTTTTCTGTTGTAATGTTACTCTTGTTTACATGAGCAAGAAATAAGTGTGCAGGCATTTTACCTTTTTTTGGGTTGCATTATTGTTACCCAGTGCCTATGAAGCATTTATAGACCACTTGAACATTACAAAGATACAATCAAACTGAATGATCTGCATTATTTTATATGTATTTCCAGTGTGTCTGTGACCATCGGTTTATGATCACAGGGCCTCCTCATGATCTGCAGCTAAGAGAGGTGCGTAGTCACTCTGTAGTGTTGCTATGGAAACAACCCGTGTACCAGGGCCGCGATCCGGTCAACGGGTACTACATCGACATCAAGGAAGCGGACGCACCAGAGGAGGCGTGGAGAGGAGTCAACACCAAGGCTACAGAGAAGCCATTCATCAAGGTTGCCATCATCCGGAATTCCTCTGTATGAGAGATTCATTTGCACATGTGGCAGCAGCTGGTGCATTATCTCGTTGTTTTCTTTAATTGTACAGATTCAGAATCTTACAGAGGGAGAGAAGTATGTGTTCCGTGTGCGGGCTCAGAATAAAGCTGGTGTTGGGAAAACATCAGACGTCTCAGAGGCAGTTACAGCTCTGACCAAACCAGGTAAGAAAAAGGATGAGTAATGAGGAGCCTCTTGCAAATTAAAACAGTTCAACTTCAATTCAGAGTTTTTTTTACCTTCTCTGGGTTTCAGGCACCAAGGAGATAGTTGTGGATGTTGATGATGATGGTGTCATCTCCCTAAACTTTGAATGCGGTGGCCTGAAACCTGACTCCAAATTTGTGTGGTCTAAGAATTATGAGGAAATTACAGACCCCGAGCGTTTGTCTATCCAGACCAAGGGAAACAAGTGAGATGACAGTAGTGTTGAGACTGTCTGATTGTCATGCTGGTTTTTCTGTTACTCTAGTTCTGGGTTTTTGTGCAGGTCCAAAGCTGCGTTCAACACTCCTGCAGAGGAGGACATTGGCGTTTACTCCTGTCATGTGACTCACACTGATGGTGATTCGTCCAGCTACACTCTCTCTGAGGAGGGTATGTTACAAAGACCAGGGAATAATGAAAAGTACATGCTCTAGAAGTAAAAGTAATGAAAGTACCTCTGTAAAAGAATCAGTTTCTCTTGTCTTTGACAGAGCTGAAGAGGCTGCTGGAGCTCAGTCACGACCACAAATTCCCCAGTGAGTGTCTCGGTCTTGCATCCTGTCACTGCAGTTGTCATGGACTGGATTGTTTCTTTGAGCTGGTTTTAAATTTTTCTTCATGCCTCTTTTCAACCTAGTTATACCCTTGAAGTCAGAGTTGGCTGTGGAGATGCTGGAAAAGGGCAGAGTTCGCTTCTGGCTGCAGGCTGCCAAGATGTCAGCTAATGGCAAAGTTGATTATGTGTTCAACGACAATATTCTCTCTCAGGGGGAGGTCAGTCATTTACATTAATGATATATATAGAAATGATGTTTTATGGGTGATTATTTGGGTAGATGAGACTGAAAAGTTTTAATCTTAAAATTCAGGCATTGCCATCCTTGTTTTGTAGAAATACAAGATGAACTTTGACAAGAACTCTGGTGTGATTGAGATGATCATGGAGTCTTTGACCCCAGAGGATGAGGGCACCTTCACCTTCCAGCTGCAGGATGGGAAAGCTACTAACCAGTCCAGCTTGGTGCTGATAGGAAACGGTATGTTCAACCACATAAAAACATCCTGAAAAGTTCTGACATCAAGTTCTGACATCTGACAAGTTCTGACATCAGAACTGATGAAGCATCTTGGATGAGAGGTGAAATGTCTTCGACCTAGAAATCTTTCAGTTTACTATGACCTGGATGACTGAGAATCTGCACAATCCTGAAAAGTTCCTGATCAGCTGGGCATCAGTGCCTCATGATACATTAATTACTATTTTAGAGGCTTAAATCTATGGGAAATCAATTGATAGTTACCTTTTTTGGGCTAGATATTATTAAGTGCTGTAAGATAACAGCTGTTGGCAGCTTCATTATAAAACCTGCTGGGCTTATAATGTAATGCAGTTGTTCTAGGTTCTGAACAGTAGAGGGCAGTAAAACATTTAAACAACAAACCAGTAAGTATTGTTGTGTGTATGTGTAGGTCTTGTTGTTAGATTTTTACACATTAAGTGAAATTCTGAACCATAACATTTTAATCTGCACTTAATTGCAGTATTCAAGGAGCTGCAGAAGGAATCAGAGTTCCAGAGGAAAGAATGGGTGAGGAAACAAGGTAATATTTGAGATGCTTGGTTTATTTACTTATTCATTTATCTGGATCCCTATTTGCTTCCACTATAGTGGGTGCTAGTCTTCCTGGGGTCTCACTGAGCTGAATACCAAATTTTGTTGACATTTTATCCTAAAAATTATCGAAATGCTTTGACTTTGACTTTTGTTCCAGGTCCTCACTTCATCCAGTATTTGAGTTATGAGGTGACACCACAATGCTGTGTCATACTGAAATGCAAGGTGGGGAAAAATATCCAATGATTTTCCATGCTGCACACTTTTCCAGAAATACCACGTGTGTATTCATTGTCCTTTTTCTTCTGACATGTTGTATTTCAGGTTGGCAACATAAAGAAGGAGACCTCAGCGCTGTGGTACAAAGACGGGCATGAGATCAAATCAGACCAGCAGCTGGGCTTCACTGAGGGAGTCCTAAATCTGGAAATAGCTCAGGTAGAAAAATGAGCAAATGTTTATTTCTGTACCATTTAGTTCTTGCATTCATTTGCACGTGTGACTGTAAACAGTAGTATTCTTGTTCAGTTTGTACTTAAATGGATCCTTCACAAACTGTATAGTGGGCAAAGGTTGGGATGTTAAAACAGTCTTTTTACTAATTTCACCATTGGCCTTTAGTATTAACTTTCTTTAAAATAAATGAAACACCTCATACTATAAGATTTACAATCTACAGTCAATAGCAGTGACTGATTGGTGTACAGTACAGTGTTGTGCCATTGTTTTACATAAAACAGCTTGTAAAAATAATGTTACGTTTCTCATTTCTGACTAGAAGACTAAAAACTGGGGTAATTTACTTTGATGCTTTTGCATCATATATGTGTTTTCTATAGCTTTCAATTTTTTTTTTTTTTTTTTTTTTTAAGGATTACAACTCTTCACACTATCTTGGTGATGCGTGTTGTTTGTGACTTGACTGGCCTTGTCTGCTCTCTCTGTCAGGTTTCCAAGAAGGATGCTGGTGTGTATGAAGTTTTTCTGAAGGATGACAGAGGGAAGGACACTTCCAAATTGAATCTGACAGATAAAAGTAACCCTAAGAAGTCACACACTAATAAAAATACATCACTCATGTAAATATATCACTTAGAACTTAAAACCTTATTTTCTTCTATTTCAAGGTTTCAGAGACTTGATGAATGAAGTTTTCAGTTATATCGGTGAGAAGAAACAGTTTGTCCCCAAATAATGTTAGACTTATTTTCAATTTATTTTTTACCCCAAACAGGTATTTGAATGACCTTTTGATGTTTTTTTTTCTTGCAGCCAATTCCTCAGCTCCACTAAAAATCACATGCACAGCAGAGGGCATCCGACTCTACACCTTTGTGAGCTACTACAATGATTTACTCCAAGTGACATGGCACTACAAGTGAGTCCTCTGTTCACATTTATACATATTACATTTAAACCATATGATGCAATAACACTTTGTTATTGGAAAAACTGAAATTTGTCTTGTGACACAAGGCAGCTCCAATGTAAGACCAAACAACAATAAACAATCACAACAGCACATTAACAAACAATAACAGTAAACCAAAAACCACTTCTACAACCCCCACTTACATAGGTATCATAGTCTCTGGATACAGATCTTACACAGCCCCACCCTGATTTTGATTTAACAACAATAATGGGCTGATATATACTGTATATGTGAGTGTAAGCACACCTATGCACAGTTACAGCTACTCCACAAACAATAATTAATTGTAATATAATGCTCCCTCTCCATCCTGACAAGCAAAAGACATCAAGGCCTTTTGAGAAAAACAATGTAGTGCTACTAAAGTTTAACATTCCAGTACTTTTCACGTACACAGCAAGATGGAACCATGCACATATGTACAGTATGTTTGGTCATGTTTGCTGCCTGTCTGAGTTGTCTGTGCTGTCTCTCTGACAGGGACTCAGCCATCGCCTTCTCTGACCGTATAAAGAGCGGCGTGGTTGGAGAGCAGCTGTGGCTCCAGATCACGGACCCCACAGAAAAAGACATGGGCAAATATACCATTGAGTTCCACGATGGAAAGGGGGGCGTGAGGAGGTCTGTTGAGTTGTGTGGTCAAGGTGAGACTGTCAGCGTATTTATAACCTCTCACTAAACCACAGTGACTTTACTCCTGGGCTGTGATATAGTTCTAGATTACCTATTTTACTTTTAAATCAGATTTTTATATGTTACTGATATGAATAGCAACAGGGCAATAAGCCAGATTCACATAAAATTTGTAGTTTTTCAATTATCTTGTATAAATAACATATATTATACTGTATATAATTGTGTATATAATTTATGGCGATTAAAACGGGTTCAGATTCTTACAGCTTGTTTTTGTTTTGCAGCATTTGATGATGCTTTTGCAGAATTCCAGAGACTCAAGTAAGTTACTTGTAGCTAGCATATTATTACCTTTATGTAGTGCTCCACATCCTGTTGGATTTATATTGTAATGTTCCAGACAAGCTGGTTCTAAACTTAAACCTGCAGTTTTTCTGCTTTGAATAAGTACATGAACAAGTGCTGACTGCAGAATAAGTCTGACTTTCACTTCTGATTTTTAGCAGCATTGAGCTAATTTGTTGTTCCTTTTTATTTATCTTCTCAGAGCTGCTGCTGTTGCAGAGAGACGTAAGTAATACTGTGTCTGCAGCAGTTTCCCTTCCCTTTTTAAAATCTTGTGCTGGAATTTTTTATTTTTTTGTCTTGATGATGCAACTGCTGAATCATCATGAAGACTTGTCAATTATTCTGTTTAATAAGAAGTTTCAAATGCTAGGATTGAAGCAACAGCTCATCCTTTTCAACTAATCTTGGCTTTCAGTTGATTTTAGAATCAGTTTTGAGTATTTTAAAGTAATGATGCACCAGACTGTACTTAGGTTTTTTTCTCTCCTAATGTACAAAAGTAACTTTCTCAGGACAAAACATTTTACCCTTTTTGTAACATAAAAACACTGGTAATACATTTTGATTTAACATAAGGATTTTGTAATTTTGATGATTTGTTTTAAGTCTAGTAAAATGGTCATTCACTTGCTAAAATTTATTTCTTTATTTATGGAAAGCTTCTTTGTTTTTCAAAGTGTGATAGAATTACCAAAGTTAACCTTGTTTCTTTCAGACCGTGCTCGAATAGCTGGAGGCCTTCCTGATGTGGCCACCATCCAGGAGGGCAAGGTAAACTGTTCGTGCTGGGTCTAATGATAAGTGGCCTGTACATTTGGTGGTATAATAAGGCTTATAGAGAAACACAATGACACTTTTAGAAATACATCTAACTGCTGTGTCAGTGTGATTGCTTGCATGAGATTGTAGTGTAAAATATTATGGATGTATTGTATCTTATCCTTCCCTCAGGCTCTCAATCTCACCTGCAACATTTCGGGTGACCCTGTGCCAGAGGTCACCTGGCTGAAGAATGACAGGGAGATCACATCTGACGACCACTGTATCCTAAAGTTTGAATCGGGCAAGTTTGCCAGCTTCACCATCACTGCTGTGAAAACAGTGGATTCTGGCAAGTACAGCATCCTGGTGAAGAACAAATATGGCACAGAAAGCGGAGACTTCACCGTAAGTGTCTTCCTCCCTGAAGAGGCGGACGTCAAGAAAAAGTAAAAGCAGTCCAAATCTTGTCACATGTGTATAAATGAAAACCTTTTTAAAAAGGACCTGAGGATGTGTTAGATGTGTTGTGTAGAATAAATGATCTCTACAGGTGCTGAGTCTGAACATGAAATGTTCAATAGTGGAGAGTAGTTAAGAGTTGTTTCTTAAAAATATTTTTAAAAAGTAGCTTTTTGGTTCAGTAATAACAAACTGAAGGTCAGACTCAAAAATAGTAGGCCTACTGGTGCAATTTGTTTGCTGTAGCATGCAGAGAGGCATTAATTTTACTCTGTTTGCTTTAGAAGAATACATGAAATAATAACAAGAAAACTTTACTTGATAAAGGGAAGCCACTGATAATATTTTAGACACGCTAATAGAAAGGATGCAACACTAAGTAATAGAAAAGAGTCGAGATACTAGTGTGCAGTGTCTGTGAAAAAGACATATGGATATTTTAACATTTGATCACATTTACTACAAATGACACGGGCTCTGCTGCTTTTCTTACATCACTGCTGCATTCAGGGTGGTGCATTCAAGTTCTGGTGAGAATATAGAACACCAAAGACTTTAGATTCAGCAGCCCTCCATGGTTTCAGCTGAATGACCAACACCATCATCAGCTAGCGGAAATATGGTGGTGATATTAAAAACTTCAAGTGTCTGCAATTGACAGTTTAGGTAACAGTAGATATACTATGTACAATATTAGTGATACCTCTCAAATTCTACAGGTAGACAATAAGTATACAAAAATTGCATCAAATGGGCTAAAACACGGTCCTTTAATGTATTCCATAATTTATTACACTTAGTCCTGTTTTTTTGTTTGTTCTATTTTACTTTATATCACTTTGAATGATGTGACCACTACACCACTTCCACTGGTCCCCTGTCTGTAGTACACTGTCTTCTTGTAATTCACCATTCACAGGCCAGCCTTAGAGATTATGATCACTCCTTTATTCAGAATGATGATGATGATGATAATGATACCACTGTAATGAAGATGAGTTCACTGTTAATACAAACAGTAGTGGTTATTGTTTCACTTCCTGTTTCATGATGAGACTAATAAAAATGAGCATGTACTACCCCACTTCCTCCTCCTTCTTTCTGAGTTGTCTCACTTTGGTTTGAACCCTCCACCTTTCGCTTTCACTCTCTCATCTCAGCTTCCCTTTTTTCACTCAGTATATTTGGACAGCCTGAAGATCAACCACCAGCATGGAGACCACCCCCTCTCTACTGTACACAGTTCACACATATGTGTTTTAATGCCGTTACTTTAGGTAAAACAATATGACACTCAATTCAAGATGAGCACTAACAAGGCAACAAGATCAAGCTCACTTGAATGTAATACAGAGAAAAACTACTGGCATTTCTTTTTGTTGTCTATAGTGGTCCGCATTCAATGGTAGAGTTGTACAGTAGAAATAGGTTGGAAAGGTTTTCCTTTAGAATTTTCTCTGCTACTTTATGTACTTGATTATGCATGGAAATCAGTTCACAGAACGTGAGAATGCAAGTAGCTTATGTGGATTAACAGGCAGGTCTCTTTAGGTTCAGGGACTGGAAATTGAAGATGGTGTAGACTAGAGGCCCTTTCATTCATGCACTCCTGTACATTAACCTGACAGCATCTGAATGTGTCAGTTTCATGTCTGAATGAGCATCCTGGTCACTTTTCTGTGAAAAAATATTCTGGAACAGACTCACATTTGATCACCATGTTGTAGTAAGAAAACTGGCCTCATATTTTCAGTGTTACTCTAGTGGATTATTTTGGCAATCAGTGATAGATCTGACCTCATTTCATTTCTTGGGTAAGTAGTGAAACATCTGTTTGGCTGATGGTGTGATGGTTGGTTCTGTTTGCAATGTCTAAGTCATACAATATTTGGATCTTTTCAGCTTGAAGCTGTAGAGGGGACACCTGACTTGGGAGTGACTTCATATTGGACTGATGCAGAAGGAAATGTGGTGTTTGGCCCAAATACTCCAAAGGAAAAGCTGAAAACCACAGTGACTGGAATCAAATTTAAGAAGCAAAAGGGTAAGACTACTGGGATGACAAGTACTTGCATGTGTATGTGTCTCAGACTTTATAAAATAGTGAAATTTTGCCATGTTTAAGATTAAATGTTTACCAGTTGTTTCTCTTTTGCAGAATCTGTAACTATGACTCACCAGAAGGAGAGCAAAAGTAAAGAGTCTGACATGCGAAAAGATGAGGAGAAGGTTGCAGACAATGCTGCAGCAGAAGCCAAAGCCTCAGAATCAGAGCAAACAGAAGCTGATAAAGAAAAGGTTGACCAACCAGATGCCTCTGAGCAGCCTGCAGACACAGTGGAGGAGCCTAAACTAGAAGCTGAAACCTCACTTGAGACACAGCAAGAAAACACTGAGTAAATCTAGTAGAGAAAAGTATTAAGTCTTAGACCGAGATTTAAGTTTGATGTGAGCTTGTATGGCTAATGTGATAGATGCATTTATAGTTATCATACCTTAAACGGTGCATTTGGACTTGTCAAATATTAATGATGACAATATTCCACATTTGAACTAATGGAGCTGATAATGGAAAATGTATCCCTGAGTATACCACACCTGGTCTTTTAAAAGCCACCCACTATTCCTATTGTTTGCCTCTTTTTCATTTAGATACTTTGTGTGCTGTTTCATTTTAATCATATTTGCTTGAAAAGAGGGGCATTTGCACAATACTCTTTTGTTAGAGGGACAAACAAACCAAACACAAAAAATATATGTAGTGAGCAGGGAAAAATAATATCAAGTTTCACTGAACACAATTCTGCAAGGACACTAAATGCATATACAAAAACATGGATTTGGCCTATTTACTCTCCAACAATAGGCAAAATACAAATTTTAATGTTGTACAATTCAAAATAGCACCTATAGTTTTATAACAAGCTTCTCAATTGAGGAAATGAAATTTTCCACTTCCCCTCCAGAGCCAGCTGCACTGCCTATGAGGTTATTCTATGATATGGGGTCAGGATCATAAAATAGGCTTAGCCTGTCACACAACGTTTTGAGATAAAAGAGGTTTTAAAAAAAAATCCAAACATTTCTCGTGAATCAAAAAATAAAAAATCACATCTCAATGAAGACGAATAATTAACGGGATCATCTGTACACCTGCGCTGTGATCACGTGCAGCTGCAGGGTCACGTGGTGTCGTCAGCAGCAGGGACGCTCAAACTACCCGTGAAGGAGGCGAGTCAAGGTGTGACTACTTGCGAGTGCTCCTCGACTCCAGCAGGTAGGAGTTGTATATCCTCCTCGGTTAACACTTTCCGAATAGAAAGCGGGACAGAGTGTGTTTTAATGCTCGTTAATCTGTCCTCTGAGCTGAGAAAACGCCGGTGTTACGAAACCTTTCTCAGAGTCAAAGCCGCTTATGTATGACTCGTGAGTCCTCTGTGATACTGTGTTGTGATAGCGGATGTTATTGAGAAGTACGAACCCGCAGACATTCTGTACCTTCTCATAAAGTTTTAAACCACAGTTTTACTACTGATATCACAAATTGTTGTTATTCATAAATAATAGTTCTGACCCATACAGTAGTCTAAACGTCTGCTTTGTGTCCGTGAACGCCTCAGTAGGCATCTTGAAGATCTGATGTCCAAACTTAGGGTATTTCACACACCAGGGGCACGTACACCTTACCACAGACTACGTTTTGGTAATATCATGAACATATGAGGTAGAATAAATGTAAATGGAGATGGCTAGTAAGATAGACTTGAGAGGTACATCAATAAACATCATTCTGAGATTAACTCAGTATTTGATTTTAACTGTGGTGATACAGTTTGCTTTTGTTCTTGGAATATAGATTGGCAGTGAGTGTGGAAATATAGAGGCTATTTCCCACAAATACTAGAGATATTGAAGCACAAAACAGTGCTGTAGTCGGTGCTTAACTGATGTTGAGCCACAAAATTAGTTTAAAGCTTTGAACTTTGAGCCCTATTTGGATTTTGCATGGATTTAAGTATTTGTTTTTGGGGGGTTTTTTTAGCTCTTTGTCACAAAAACATGCATAAACTTTTCAGCACAGCTCAAATCTTAGATCTCTTGCACTGCTTCAGGTACTGTGTTGTTGCTGGATCACACAATTTCATATATTGTGGTATTCTGGAGAACAGAAGGACATGGCTAAAGTGTTGTTTCACATTATGTGATGATATTGATTGTTCTCTTTTGATGTTGGATGACAAGGTTAACACCATATTCACAATCAGAGAAGAAACTGAACCTGCCTATAAACAAAAATTATATCAAATCTACAGCAAAGATGCCAACACTGGCATCAACACTGGCCTGATTATTAGACACAACAAGCTTGGGCTTTACCTAAAACTGCTACAAATGTCAGTGAAAACTGCAAAGGATACACATCAACAATCTAACAAATAGACATACACATTTAAAAAAAGAGCTAGAGCAGCTTGTTATTGGGTCAGTGGGATCTTTTTGTTGACCCAGAGTTTTTTTGTGTGTGTGTTTTTTGTGGAGAGAGACACACACACGCTGTCCACTCTGGGCTTTAGCAGCCTTATTGCAGAAATGATTAATCAGCTCCAGACTCCAGATGGAAATGGGACAGAGCCGTTGCGTTTAGGGACCAGTTTGCATTTCCTATTCTGAACAACAGGAGCCTTGCTACAGGGACAGTGGCCTAATAAGATGCAGAAAAAATGTGTGGCCTCTTTCTAGTAGTGATTCAGGTGTGTTTAAAGGCAGATTTTTTAAAATCTACATTAATGAGGGGGACTTTTGCTGACAGGTGGACACGATGAACTATGTGGGGCAGCTAGCGGGCCAGGTGCTGGTGACGGTAAAGGAGCTGTACAAGGGGATCAACCAGGCCACTCTGTCAGGCTGCATCGACGTGATCGTGGTCCAACAGCCTGATGGCACCTTCCAGTGCTCCCCTTTCCATGTCCGCTTTGGAAAACTGGGGGTGCTACGCTCCAGGGAGAAGGTGGTGAGTGTCCACATTACTCAGACAGGAAATAATCACACGCTTTGATTACTGACATATATGTATTGAATTTTGAGCTTGAATTTTCGACAGCCAAGCAAAGTGCTGCATTTCACTTCTGTTGCACAAGGACTCTGGTCTTGATGCCTAAAATATTTAGTAAAAAAAGAAATGTAATTAAATGTGCAGATCAAACCGTCCTTTTCAGTGTTACCATGAAGCTGCACAAGAGATTTTCTTTTTCTCTAATTACCCTCTGCTCCTCTCCTTCCATTTCACCCACATGTTACCATCAGTTCTACTCTCTGCTTCTCCAAAGAGAAGACAGCCTCTTCTCTTTAGTGTGTAGCTGAGGACCACGAGCTAAATTTAGCATGTGTAAAGCTAACCCATCCCATTCAAGAGAAGTCTTACAGCAGTGTTTTATTCTTTTCAGGTGTATAGGAGAGCCAGACTGTGGTTTACAGAAAACACAGCTCTTCTGTAAATCTTGTCGGTTAAATGATCTTTGTCACTGTTGAGAAACTAAGCATGAAAAACCAGAGTTAAATTAGATCATTTCTTTATATCAAATATCAACATATTGCAGACAGTTTGACTAGATTGTTTCTTTTCTGAATCTTTAACCTGATTTAAAGACTGAAGCATCATTGTGCACACAACCTATAGTTGAATTAGGCTGTCAAAAGAAAAGTTCAGCAACCTGAATTGATCCATGTTTCTCAGCCTTCATATAAGCTGTTCACTGCTGTCTTCTTCCTGGGTTTAATGCTGATCCTTCAGGCAAATCTGTGGCATAGCATGTTCTGCAGTAGATAGGTATTGTTAATGTGTGTTGAGGCAAACTGATGAGAATGTAGTGACCTGGTACACAGCAAAGCACTGTCCACAGTATGTACTGTACAGAAATGTGTTGTGTGACTGTGCAGATTGATATAGAAATTAATGGGGAACCTGTGGACTTGCACATGAAGCTTGGAGACAACGGGGAGGCCTTTTTTGTCCAGGAGACAGAGCAGCACAATGTGAGTGTTGCACAGTATATGAAGAGAATGAAAGTCTTCAATGTTGAATTTCAGCTCAACCAATATAGTCTCGTTTCCATTTTCACTTCAACACAGGAGATCATACCAGCCCACCTGGTCACCTCACCTATACCCACAGAAGAGGCTCTGTTCAGGAGCAGAGAACTCCGATTTGGGGCCTCAGAGGTAGAGAGCACTGAGCCTCTCAATCCCGAGGACCTGGTCTCTGGAAACCAGCCTTGCTCCTACTTTGCTGGCAAGAAGAAGAAGAGACGTAGGAGGAAGCACAAGAGTGAGCCACGCAGTGGGGAGCTGGAGGTGTGTGAGCTGATGTTGGATGAGGAACATGACAGACACAATGGACAGTAAGTAGACATGAAAGCTGAATTTTTTTTTTTTGCCTTTTAATCTGTTGCTCATTGTGACTTTTGATTTTATTGTCTTGTGTTCAGGGCATCTTTACTCTTAAAGAAGAAGGATAATACGGACAACGATCAGCATTTTCCGCTCAGTGCCTTAGAATGGGAAAGCTATCCCTTCTCTGACAGAGAGTGGTCACCGTGCACTATGTATGGCCCTCCCACTCTGTGCTTTCAAATATTTACATAGTTCATACAAGCAGAGAGAATCAAAACAGACAGGGCTGAGTTTAACACATCACTCCCACAAGATCATTACTGCTGACTCAGTGGAAATGTGTTTGCTTACCACAGGGAGATGTCTGAGCCCATGTCGCCCAAAAGTGACTCAGAGCTGATGGTGAAGCCAGCACAGAGCATTCTCAGGACCGAGCCCCACATGCAGTGGACTTGGGGCGGGTTTCCAGAATCCACCAGGGTATGGTTAATATTTAGACTTGAATCTTGTTGAAACTTTGGTGTTTTGAGACAAATGAAACGTGTGGGAATGTCAAGTTCATATTTTCACTTGCATGTACTATATATTTAGAGACTTGGTGAGAAATTTTAGAAAGGTATGTCTTTATATTTAATTTGTGCTGTACTGTCCAGGTCAACAGAAAGGACAAATCCGAGCCAAAGATGTTGACCATCTCTCCCTCAGAGAATACACATTTCAGGGTTATCTTGAGGTCTGAAGCCATAGAGGAGGAGTCGAGCAAAGGAGAGAAAACCGCAGATGCTGTTTGCAGTATTGTTAAACCAGAGCCTCGTACCATCAAGCCGAAACAGTGCAACTGCAAACCCCAGCCCCCTGAAACTTTGTTGCACAGTGCAAACATTACAGAGCACAAGCCAGACCTTTGTAGTGAAACGTCCAGCAGATTTACCTCTGAGCATAGTAGCTCTGACCTCAACACAAAAACAGTGCATAAAACCAGGTGGACGTCATCACAACCCAGCTGCAAGGACAGTGGCTCTGTTGCTGGTGGAGGCTCTGCCTCAGCTGGTCCTGATACAGGAGCATCCCCCAAACCCCCAGATGCCCCCTTTGAGAGGAGAGGTACCACAACTTCCTTTATAGCTGGAAAATTGTTTGATGGTTTCTGTGTGTGCAGCAGCTTCTTATTTAATGAGTAAAGTGAATCACGCAGTGGAATATCCAAATAGTAAGTAAACAAGTTACAAAAGCTTTAAAAACTGTAGGTAAGAAGCATGTGATAATTTTAATAGTTATATAATTATTTGTATTTTGTATCTTAAGTAACTTGGTCTGGATAAAACACCAGATTTTCTGTGTTGGTAGTCTCCACCCTGACTACATGTAAGTGAATGTTAGCAGGAAGGATGTGGTTTTTGGTTATGCTTCAGCTTGTATTCTGTCTGGGCCTAGTCTGTATTCACATGCAGAAGCTAAAAGAAAAGGAATCAAAAGAAATGAGGCCTGTGACTTATCTCGCCTCTCTTTCACTAAGGTGTGAGGAAGAGAAGCCAGCATCAGGGACCTGAAGATATTTACCTGGATGATTTAAATGCACTCCAGCCTGATGTTGTTGCTCGATACTTCCCAAAAAGGTAAAACCGTGGGAATCACTGCACAGAGAAAATGGCTATAAACTCAACCATATAAGTAGTGAAAAATAACTCCCATCATTGTTAACTCTTGCTACAAAAATGGTTGCAGCTACTTACCCAACTCGTGTCTAAAACTGTGTCTGTCAGTGAATCTGAGCAGGTACTCAAACACTGGGTGGAGGTAGGCCGGCGCTCTGTATCCCAGTCACCTCAGTCCATTGGCAGCGCAGCAGCAGACAGTGGCACTGAGTGCTTGTATGACTCTGTAGGTGACCTGCCTGATGTCAGACTGTCACTGTGTGGAGGTGTTAGTGAGAACTCAGAAATCTCTAAAGGTAACTAATCATTTCTATTATAACCTGAAGCATCACTGATAAAACTGGTTTCCTCTTCCTCTATTTTTGTCTTAAAATTCCAGTAGTTACAGTATTGTTTCTCCTAAAGAAATGCAGGATGTAAACTGCATTGCTCATACACAGTATTAACAATCTCAATTTTATTTTCAATTTTTGGGGGATGGAAAAAAGGATTTATTTCCCGTTTGCTGCCTCACACATTGCACTGCAAATTCGAAGATGAATAGCAGTGAATGCTTATGCTAACAAGACAAACAAAAGTCTTATTCCTGTTGGCATCTCCGCTCAAACAGTCCCCCTTACGTGATTGATTAACACAGCGCCTTTACTGGATGATGTCACCATCCAGTTTATGAGCATGTATGACACTTTGACTCTCCTGCTTCACAGCTCCTGCATATGGAAATTATTATTCATACAGTAACACAGGCTACTGGCTAACTTCCTAATCTGCTTTTTATGTTAAATTTATTCTAGAAAAATTCGTGGAGCACATCGTCACCTACAGCGAATTCGCAGAGAATCCAGCGATTATCGACAATCCCAATTTAGTGCTTAGAATTGGAAACAGGTGAATCTTACTGATGGCTGCACTGCCTCCTCAGTTTTACAGATGAATTAATAACAATGGGTCTCATTCACAAACGCTTCTTAAGAACAAATTGTTCTAAAACCCACTTACAAAGTTTTCACAAAGATACCGACATTCACCAATGTTTTCTTATTTGGGACTTGTTCTTGGGTAAGAACAGAATTTACTTAACAGCACACGCATACAGATTTGAGCGTGTGTGTGAAATAAATGGTTATGTAGTTTTCTTGATGTCTACATTTGATTAGTTTTTTCATTATTAGTATTCAGTTGTGCGCCCTTCTGCTTATACAGTGCTTACTGAACAAGTCAGAGCATCCCATGCATCTTTTGGTTTTATTTTATATCCACTACTGATGCTACTAAATATGGCAGCTAATTCGTTGTTCTCCACCTCTTAACTCTTCATTTTTCTTCAGTTTGAAGTTTGCTCCACCGTCTTTAGATTTTCATTGTAGCATTTCTGGCTTTCTCAGCTGCTCTTTTACTTTTCTGTGCGAGTCTTGTGTGCACAAGGTCCTCCAGGCTCATGCCCTTTTATGGGCATTGGTGGGGCATTAATCTATGCTAATTAGGAACAACTGGCAGGTGCTTTCAATTTAGAAACATATGGGATTCATCAGTGTAAGAACACGGGTGCAAACAATTCAGCTTTTTAAGAACGGAAATAATGAATCAGACGTAGACTTTTCTTAGGACCTTTCTTAAGAAGAACCTTAAATTTTAGAGAACACTTAAGATGTTGGTGAATGAGACCCACTCAACATAATTCAGTTCCATATTAATCAATCATTGCATAATGTGCACATTACAACTAAAAATCTTTATTCCTCAGGTATTACAACTGGACCCTGGCAGCACCGTTAATCCTCAGTATGCAGGCTTTTCAGAAGAACTTACCAAAGGTGTCCACTTGGTCTAATGTGTTAATAGTGAACTGTTAGATGTTATATCTGCAGATTGTCTATTTATACACATCATTTATGTGAATGGCAGGCTACAGAGGAGGCCTGGGTTAAAGAGAAAATGCCAAAAAAGTCTGGACGATGGTGGTTCTGGAGAAAGAGCAGCGTGAAGCAGGTACTGAATGTGGAATTTGACAAGAAAACATTTAACGTAATTAGCCACACTACATCTGTGTTTATAGTGTAGTGGGGGTTTGAGTACCTTTGCATTGTAAATGAGGAAAAGGTTGCTGAAATGTCTGTAACATGATCTTCCTGTTTTGCATAGAGAGACTTGGTTATGAAGGAGCCTTTGTATATTATAATTCTTATCTTACAATGGTTTTTAATTCAAAACATTAAAATGGGAAAGTGGGTCCAAACTGTCTATTGGTAGCATACGTGAAGATGGCTAGTAATATTTCGTCCCCTCTTACAGTCATCATTTGAGACCAAGCTGGAGAGGCAGGAGTCCCTAAACACAGAGAGTCCTGCCCCTCACCAGGCTCCGGAAACACAGTGAGTCAGCAGCAAAGCTCTGGCTTCCTCACAACACTGCAGTCATACAACAACATAAGCAATGTTGGGTAAACATATCAGACAGATTATGGATTATCATGTTAGTCAGCACGCAGTGGGTCTCCTTTCATGAGCACATAGTTAAAAAGCCAGGATACTTGAATAAATATTGTTTGAGAGAGCTTGGGAGATACCAGTTTAGGTTTGTGTTCAAGCTCATTAAGGATGTGTCCAGTTTGTGTAAAATAAGAAGTCAAAGACTAAACATGCTACTTATTTACCCCTGAACAGAGATGCAGGCAGATGAGGTCTGCCCTCTGGTGACTGTAGATAATACTGCAGTGTTTTTGTTGACCCTCAATCACATTACATTTTGTGGTATCAGTGCAGTTTTGTCATTACATTGCCTCGTTATTGTGTTTATTTTGATATGGATTTGTCAGAAAACTGTTGCCATTGCAGGATGACTTTCTTGTCCAGATAATGTGCCATTTGCTCATTGGCTGTAGACTTTGTTTGCTGATTTTCCTTCTTCAGACTTATTTTTCCTTCTCCTGCAGGCTGAAAACAGCAGAGTGGTCTAGTGACGAGGAAACTAAAGAGCTCAGGGCTGTGGCGCCTGAGCCTGTGCAGACAGAGGACTCGGCACCGACGCCTTGTCAGTCTTACAAGAAATCCCTCCGCTTGTCATCTGATGAGATAGTAAGACAAGTGATAACTATTACTGATAGTGTAACTTTAATTTCACAGCATAATGAATGAAAATGACAAGCTTTAGTGGGAGCTAGCAGGGCTTTACATAATGTTTTTAGTTACAGTATATCTATATCGACGTTCCCTCTGAAACACCGAGGTTCTTTTGGATCGCCATTTGACGTTTTACTCTACCAGTGTAAGAGCATGTATTAAACTCCACTGCATTACATGTCACAGGCCAGCCTGAAGCTAAAAGAGGGGCCTAATGATGTCACCTTCAGCATAACCACCCAGTACCAGGGGACCTGTCGCTGTGAGGGCACCATCTACCTGTGGAAATGGGACGACAAGGTTGTAATCTCTGACATCGATGGCACCATCACCAAGTATGGGAAAGTCTCAACATTTCTACCTTTTTAGTATATTTCTAGTTTATTCTCAGGCAGTGACAATTTCTGATTCTCTGCAAGAGATTTAGTCAAGTCTTTTTGAAATTACATTTATATCATTTAATTAAATGTGCTAATCATAAAATCACATTGGGCATGGCTGTGGAATATTTACTACTCAGTTTTTTTTCGCCACAGGTCAGATGTGTTTGGACACATTCTGCCTCAGCTTGGTAAAGACTGGACTCATGAAGGAATCGCTAAGTTTTACCACTCAGTGCACGAGTAAGCCTCGAGTCGCCATTATTATCTTGCTGTTATTAGAAAAGGTGACATGATAGATCTAATCCATCAACAAATATCTGACTGCTTCAGGAATGGCTACAAGTTCCTGTACTGTTCGGCCCGGGCGATCGGCATGGCTGACATGACCCGAGGATATCTGCACTGGGTGAATGACAGAGGGACCCTCCTGCCTCAAGGACCCCTCATGCTCTCCCCAAGTAGCCTCTTTTCTGCCTTCCACCGGTAAGCTTTTCTGGAGCTCTGCTTGTTTCAGTAATAAATGTTTATCTGCCTATTGTTGGAGCAACATTCACAGAGCACTGGCACAAATGTAATGTTTTTAGATACTACTCTCCAAGAAAATTACAGTGGCAATCAAGCAAATCTGATGCAGCATTTGACTTATTTACCCAGATCAGTAACATTATTAGAACTGTGGTAAATCTGTGCATGTTAGCCTCTCACTGGGCCTCATGCAAGAACCAGTTGTAGAAACCAATTTGTTTCTCTAGTAGCTTGTATGAGAGATTTAAGAGAATTTCTGGCATTCACCAGTTTTCTCATGTTGAGGATTTTCTCCTTGGGTCGAGTGAAATTCACAGGTGATTCAGACCTGTCCTACAAGTTATGAACAGACAGATGGGGCAAACACTTGTTTAAGAATTATAGTTTTATCTGAATGAATTTGGAGTTTAAATATGATACAGAAATTGATTTTATTAAAAATGTACAGTGTATATAATGCTAAATTTAAAATTGACCTTGACTGCTTCACATACAGAAAAAATATGAAAATGTTTTATGCAGTGATGACCGTTTCTTTTCCTTGTGTTTGTCTTGCTAGAGAAGTCATTGAAAAAAAGCCTGAGAAGTTCAAGATCGAATGCCTCACAGACATCAGGAACTTGTTTTTCTCAAACACGCATCCCTTCTACGCGGCCTTTGGAAACAGAGAAAGTGTAAGTAAGATGTTTGCTTCTGTATCCTTTATAGTTTGAGATTGTGACAACAGCATTTTTATGAAGAATCAAAGTCTTGTGTTAAATTAGATGGAAAATGGTGCTTATTGTCTTTTTGTTTAAAGGACGTGTTTGCCTACAAACAAGTGGGTGTGCCTGCGTGCAGGATATTCAAAGTGAATCCCAAAGGGGAGTTGATCCTTGAGCAAGCCAAAGGCAATAAAACGTCGTAAGTAATGAATCAACACTGCAGTGATTTTTTTTTTTTTCTCTCAAACAGCTGTTTATTATTAACATCTCTTCCCCCCAAAAATAACAGTTACAGCCGGCTGAGCGAGTTGGTGGAGCATGTTTTTCCTTTACGGGGTTCACAACACAGCGCCACCTTCAGCTGCCCAGAGTTCAGCTCCTTCTCTTACTGGAAACAACCGATTGCTGAGGTGTATTTTGACGAGCTGCTTTAATGCACTGTTTAATTTATTTATCCCCACTCTACTTAGAAGTAATTTATTTTGACTGTATGCACTGGATTAACACAGATAACACAACTGGAATAGTTGGATATTGTCTAAAACATGTTCCAGTTTAGTTAAAAAGTCTGGTATATTAATAAGGTCAATATTTATTAGTGCAGCAACATCATCTTCTTCTTCAGGGTTTATTCCCTTCATGCACTTTGTGTTCTTTGTGTTTGAGCTGCACAGTTAATAGGTCTGTCTAAAGAGTGTCAGCTTTCGCATATATAAAAAGTTTGATTTATGAGTTAATTATTTGCACACTTTTTTTGTTTAAAAAGAAAAAAGAAAAATTGCCTCAGCACTTTTTTTTAGGAAAGGTTAGTGGAATTGGCGCTCTGCTCATGTGATGTAGTTGGCCGTTTAATGACTTATTTGCTCTCTGTCAGTGTTATTTAATGTATACAGATATTTGATCCAGTGCTTAAGGATTCTGCAATATTTATGTTTAAAGGAAAAAAATGTAGTTAAGTTTATTATTGCAATGTGGAAAAACCATGACGAACTTTGCATCTGGCTGCTATTTAGCAAATATTTTGGCAAAATCTAAATTGAGTTAGACTTGCAGTAGAAAACTAATTTTAAAACACTTTGTTTTTGCCAGACTACAGTAAAATACAGTATTTTAATATCTCTGTTATTCTACTAACAGCTGTCAGTAAAATTTAATATTCTTTCTATGAAAGTAAAAAAAATTTGAAGACTTTGAACAGTGCTTTCCCAGTTTGTGAAGCCAAATTTTACTTTGCAGTAAAGAACTTTTGTTGGGACTTTAAGTGGTTTATGTAGATTGTTGCGACATGAGTGCAAAATGTATTTATCAGAATGGTCTATTTCGGACTTATTTTAATTTGGCCGGGCAGTGTAGGTTGTCTCTCTCTCCTCTCATCCATACGTATCACTTTGAGCCCTACTGTATTCCCAGTACTGTACACCATACTCCACTTAAGGCTAATACCTGTATAAGGTGTCTATGAAAAGAAGCTGGGCTACCGCTCTGACAGGATGGGGTAGAGAAGCACCGCGCTGAAAGAGGACAGGATCTCAGAGGAGGCTGAGTTGGCAAGCTGTCCGGCCGTCAGGACGAGTCCTGCTTGGTCTCCTCGCCTCAGCGAGAGAATCAGGCTTAGTGAGGTTGAACTGCTGCAGTTACATTGATCATTTGAAATCGGCTCTTCTGTTCCTGCCAAGAAACCTGTTGAACTGAGCCTCTGGATGCTGCGGTTGGACACTGAGAGCACTGCCTCCACTCTTTCACCCTGCAGGGCTGTGAGCACGGCGGTCACCAGGTAGCGGCCATCTGTGGGAGCCGTGAAGATACCTGAGAACACAGGGAAACGCTGATTAAGTCAGGGTATTTACTAAAACAATACTTTTATAGTAGGTTACAATTCTTAGGCCACTTCTATCAGTGGCTTTATGCTGGGTGCTTTGAAATTGTACAAGACTATTTTGAAATGAAATTAGTATTTCTAGTCAAGCTGACTGTGCTTAAAGTTTATTAGCATGCTAACACTCTGGGCAAAGATTCTGGTAAATATTATACCTACTGACATCTACATGTGGGCATTGTGTGTGTCTGCATGCTCACATTTAGCTCAAAGCACTGCTGTGTGCATGTGCAACATCAGGTAATTTCTCATAACATCTTTTTTTTTTTCCCTGATAGAAATACAATGATGGCAATCTGCTATTCAACTGAGAGAAAATGAATCAAATATTTTAATCTATTAAATGTTTAAGGAAATTATGGAGCAAATTTATGAAACATTAGTTTCAGCTCCTCTGATTTACTGCCATTTTCTGAAATGAGGTGTCTTGTTTTTGATTAATGGGCATTATACTTGCCTACATTTCAGACCATAAGTGAGTTAATTGAAAAAGAATTGTTAGTTTTCACTCTAAAAATTAAAACAATTCCTTAATGGTGTAAACTGAAAATACAAACTGTGGAGTGAAATGTAGGTTTGTGTGTCACTGTCTGGGTTAGTGAAAGTGTGGTAATATTTACCTGTGTGAGGGTCATAGTGTTGTCCGTCATTGACCAACACTTTGTTGAATCGAATAATTCCACCCTCTCCTTGGATAGGCAGATGAGTCAGACCGGCTGAGAACGAGACTGTCTCACCTGGACACAGGAAAGGAAACGTCAAACACTAGCAAACATTACAGTATCGGAGCCAGGAGCCTGTATGATGAATACATTCCGACCTGAAGCCATGACAGGTTTCTGTGGTGATGGTCTGTGGAGCATGTTCACATCTGTTGACCGAAAGGAAAAATGGTTTAATCCACCCTTGAGAAGATTTGCTGTAATGTCACAGAAACAGGGCAACAGTATTTACCTGAGATGAGCGACATGTAGGTCTTCAGTGAATCAGTGGATTTAACTGGGGAAGCTATAAAATTAAACAAAAGATGAAAGATCAAGCAATGTAAACAAACAGTAGAGAGCAGAGCATTTACATGTGGCCATATCACACCTGGAGCTCCAGCAAAGCCCTGCACAGGCATCATGCTGCCGTCGGTCCCCTTGGGTAACTTGGACGAGGTCATCTTGCCGGGGGGACCCGCCTCTCCGGTCTCCATCACAGGTGGCTGAGGGAGGAAGGAATCAATCTGGCCATCTGGTGCTGTGAAGCTCTTACTCGGACCCTGGGGAAATCCTGTGTCATCCACTCCAATATGAACACCTGCAAAAAGACTGATGTAGAGTGAGTGAAGGGGCTGGAGGATGAAGGACCAGATGTTTGGAGGTTAGTGATGTTAACAAACCAGTTAGTACTTCATCCCTGTCATTTTGTAAGTGCTACCTCCACCACAAACCCATTCATAACCCTTTAAATTATGAGCAGAACAAACAAATGGCTCGCTCTCTCTTTAGGCCTTGAAGCTCCTGGGAAGTCACTTTTTCTGATATTTTATAATTGGGAAATATTCTTAAGATTAATTTTAAAAAATCATCTGAAGCAGTGCTGTTACTGTATGGTCCAAAAACTCATAATTAACTGCATTTACTGGAGGGATGTTTTCCAATTACTAAAATGATATCATGAGGGACTCTACACTTTAATGTGGTGACATTCTAAATTTAGGCCTGCTCTCAGCATGTTTCAAACTTTGGCACTGACATATTTACATTAACAGATTTTGCTAAACCTCATAGGAATACTATGCAATTATATGTGACACTGTCACTTTTTAATAACTCAACATACAGTACACTTGGGCCCACATTTATGGTCAGACTCTCAATGACATCAAGCGATTATCTGAGCCTGTCATTACAGCCATAAAGAAAATGACAGGCCGTTGCCCCAGCTCACATCATATGGTGAACTACAAGTGCATTCCTGTCAACGGAGATGAACTTTGGAGCTTATCAACAAATCAAGCCTGTTGGCTGGGGGCACGCAGTCACTGTTACTCTTTGGGCTATGACGAGACCGCAGACCCCAACTCTCCTGCTCCAAAAGTTGAAATGAGCACATAAAGTAGAAGGCTGCCTATTAAGCACATGTGGAAAGGGACCATAAAACTGCACAGCAGACAAGTCGATGTATACACGCATGCATCAGTTTTACAGGACTGTATTTGTTAGCTGTGTGGATCCTCATATAAAGCGAAGAATGTGCACCAGATAGTTGGCACTGATGGAAGCGATTCAATGCCACAAAGGCAAAATAGCCAAAGCAGGCTATATGTATGATATGTCTGTATGTGAGAGTGTTTGTCATGATGAAATACATCAGCTGTAAACAGATGAAGCTGAATTTCCTGTTGACCATAAATTTGCAGCACGGTAAATCCTCACTCTGTTGTTAGTCACTTATATCAACCTCCCCAGCTCCAGGATACAGCAGCCCCCTTTGTGTCACAGGAATAGCTACATTACACAACACATTATAATGACTGCACATCAACTTTGGCAATGTATGAGTCACTGTTAGCCAAAACACACTGGGATCTGAAGCGTTTGATTTAGGAATAAATAAATCCAGCCACATAATTTTGTGCTCAACTTGAAAAAGAACATTACTCAATGTTTTACATCAGATAGCGTAACGCCTACTCTGTCAGGATATGGGGGCATAAGGTTACAGCAGCCGATGAACACTGAGGGCTTTCTGCCAGGTCCCATGTTGTTTTTAGTTTATGGGGTTATCATGATTGACCACTGACCAAAGTGTGTCATCACAGAAGTCACCTTATCTCTCACAGGTCATCACAGTGTCTTGTCAGAAGCAGGAAAGCACCCGGTCTTATCTCAGAGAGTTTCCATAACAGAGGGCTACAATGTTGTTTTAAGTAAACTGAGGTCACCTTGACAAACACAAAGAGTTGTGCTTTACACATGTCAAAGGATTGGAAAGCATAGAGAGCACATTTTACACATGCAAACTGAAGAAGCGGCACCTTGTAATGTATGCCTTCAGGTTGTTCATTGTTATGGGTGGGGTGATGCCTGAGGGAGGAGGTGAAAAGCAGCCACAGTACTGATGAAGACTATGAGATACTGTTGAAAGCACAGTGAAAAAGCTAGTTAGTGAATCTTGTGTTAAGTTATATTTGTTCAGCTTTCTAATACAGTAAGTAGCTCTTCATAAAGATTCGATACAGTGGCTTTATTAGTTTCACTCAGTTAATAAATACAGTTCAATGCATTAATATGAAGAATTATGAGTTTCCAGGTTGCGAAAAATTGCTTTGGTGTTTATTCTCCTCCAGCAGCACATACCGTTTATCTTTTTAGATAGCTATTAATTAGGTAGACGGTTTTAATGGACCAGTTACTTTACTTATTTACTAACCAACCTTTGTGTAGCTCCAACTGGTTTCAATTCAAGCTACTATTTTCAAGGTCAATAATGAAGTTTTATGTATAGCTTTTACTCTTCTTTGTAATGTACATTAACAGAAATTATATGACTGACTCTTAAATGGAGAAAAGATTTATGTGACTTCATGGTTAGTATGTATTGAAGGTATCATTTCAAGATAGACATCTCTCCCGACTCTCTGGTCTAAAGTTAACAACTGGTATGACATCATGGTAAATGCACTGACATGGCCTTTGGGACCTGTGTGCAGCTCTGAGTGTTTGCACTGTTGATTTCAACAGAAAAGGAATTCAGCCAGGGAAGTTTAAAAAGTGAGAAAACTGCAGCTAGAACTGAAGAGAGGTAAAAAATGTGACGGCACTGAGGAGGGCTGTGAGGAAATGGAGGGTCCACCCAGTAGCACCTAACTGAAACACACTGAAGCTCTTGGAAACTAAAGATACCCACAAGTGAGTGAAATCACTGATAAACTGTGTGCACATCTTTCTGTATCAGACTGCCCCAAGCAGCATTTTCCAGTCTCTTCAGATTAGCAGGGAGGGAGACAACAGGATGATGCAAGTAGCAGGGTGGAAAAAAAAAACATCCACACAGAAAGCCAAGCACAGGGAGGCCCATGAAGTTGCTCCGGGTGAGTGAAATCATGAATAATTGCACTCCCCCTTGCAGAACTTCCCAATGACAGAATGGCGAATTGAATGGCATATACAATAATGGCAAAAACAGTAACTTAAAACTTGCTGCTCTCAGAGGAGGCTTGATAACATTATGGGTGTGTTTCTAGTCCACATGTATAACTGTGAGACTCAGGGAAGTCCCATCCGGTCTCATAGGCACCATTAATGACAGACTCATACAAGCAACATACACACAGATTTGAAACCGACACACTCAAATATGGCTACAGCAAGAAAGCTAACACACATCCATTTGTTTTCATCCCTCATGGTGCCTTAAATTAATTTCCTGGATTCTTAGCCTGAGTTTAACCATAACCACTACTTGGCTAACGCTAATCCTTACCCTAATTTTAAACCAAGTTGCTACTCTAAAATTCACTGATTTTACATGGCGAGGACCAGCATTTGGTCCTCACAAGAAAGGTCGAGCCCCCACAGCGTGAGTAATACCAGGTGCGTGCACACACAAATGCACATTTGGATGCACAAAAAATGAGCAACATTTCTTTAAGCCAAAGTATTGCTCAACACAAGTGGGCTCTATTAAAGAAAGCATGTGTCTTCAATCAGTCCTACCTCCTTCAGCTGAGAACATGGTTAAATGAAAATCCAACATCCTGTCACTCACACACTGACACACAAGAGCCTGTCCAACAGAAAAGCTCCAGGGCATGCGATGATTTAAAAGGCTGGGAAAAATCACAACTATCTGAAGCCTCTACTATTAAGGCATTTGTGGATAACAAATCAGATTTAGCATGATATAAAAACTGTTTAAGATTATGCAACTTTTGCTGAATAGCAGCTGCTGTGGCCTCAGGTGACATCTTCAAGTTAATAGAAAGCATACACAGTACAACAATAGCACAAGTAGAGAATAATCATTGCCAGTAAACCTAGTCAGTAATGTCCACTGCACAATAATACAGTACCTTTTAACTAACAGCCACCACCTTAAGCTTGAGGTCATACCAGATGAAGCAAAGTCTCTGAGTACTGACTTAAGCAAGAGTGTTTTATTGATGATGGATTCAACTCTTCATTCGTGAGAAGAACAGCGAAAAGTGGAATCTAAAATGAAATATCTTAAATCAAGGTAATAGATGCTTATTTTTTGTCTGACGAGATATTTACTCCTGCCAAACTTTGTTAGAACATTTCACTTGTTCCAAGTTTTTGTTGTCCCTAAGTATCTTGTTACTGTCAGTAACTTAATACTTTAAATGTTCTTGTTTTTAGTCTAGCTGCACTAGTTTTAAGATATCTATGGGTTTTTACTTGTTTCTGAAAATCTTAGCAAGTGAAATTTTTCTGTTCCATTTGCTTATCTTAAGTAATAGTTTCCTAGTTTTATTATTTTGTATTTCTTGTTTTTGAGAGCTGAGCTTTGCAGTGTATTATTTATTCTTTCAAAGGTTACACAGCGTCACTTCAGGGCTCCCTTGAAAAAGAGGTTCCGGACCTCAGCTGGATTTTCCCAGGGAAATAAAGGTTAAATAAGAAGTTTAACTTGCTGCATCACGGGAACAAGGTACTTCCTCACACCTTTAGGCGATAAAAGATCAGTTTGTCTGCTTACCTGTCTTCCCGGGAGAGCTGTTTGTTAGCACCTGGAGCTCTCTGGCCATGTTCGCGATAGAGCTCTGGAGACTCTGACAAGTTCCCCGTAGTCCTCCAATATCTCGTGCATGAGTGCCAACTGTGGCATTCAGCTGGTTGACACAAGTCCACAATCCAATGATGTGTTCATTCAACCCCTCTTTCATTCTCTGGAGGCTGCCAGAAATAGGATCCATCTTGGCACATAAGTTCTCCACACTAGCAATGCGGCTGTTCATATGGGCGATCTCCTTCCCAACATCCTGTGTTTTTTCCATGCAGCGGTTGGCCTCGGCTTTCACTTCCCTGCCCAGCTCATCCAGCCACTGTCTCAGCTCCTGGTGCCGAGTCCTGTGGAGCTCCAAAATGTCCTTGGTCTCCTGCTCAGCCCCTGCTTTAACTTGACCCCAGGTGGAGTTGAGGTTCTGTGGGGTCCTAGATTGCTGGTACACTACATCTAATAATGAGTCTTCCAATCTATCCATGTGGACTTTCATGGCACTCAACTCGCCATGTACATTTTCAATGCTCACAAAACTTGAATTAGCCTTGCACTCCTTTGAGCACAGCTGGTCCAAGACAGTGAGTCTACCCTCCAGAACTTGAACAGAGCCCTTTAAAAAGTTAATGTCCCTTTGTGAAGCATCCCAACTCACTGGATGAACCTGAGATGTGGAGTTGGTGCTAGTGTATACCAACAAGGTGGTGAGTGTGTCTTTCATGGAGATTATCTTGTCCTCCAGAGTTGCCCTCAGATCTTTGATGGCCTCTGCTTGCTCTTCCTTCAGCTTCTCCTCTACAGAGTGGCACTGTGTTGCTATAGACTTCTCAGATGAGTTTAAATGGATCTCTAGATTTTCTACTCGAGCCAGAATAGAGTCATATAATTGGATGTCTTCCTTTCCTGCATGAACCAGCTTGGTCTTAAGGCCCTCGATCTCATTGCGGAGGTCAGTTTCCTTTGAGTCCATAAGCTCCGCCAAGCTGAGGTAGTTGGCTTCTTGTCCTTCACACTGCTCTCGAACCGACGCCATTTTATAATCGCAAGAGCTCTTCAAGTCTGCCAGTTTGATTTCCATGCCCTCCATCAACTCCTCCCTCAGGACACGGATCTTATCATCCACATAAAGCTGCAGGTTTGCATCACTAGCTTGGGGGGCAGGAAGTGGTGTAGCCAGGAAGTTCTGGGAAGCCTCCATTAGCAGATGAATTTGTCCATCATGGCGGTTGACACGAACCAGCAGGTCATCTAGAGTATTACTCTTGAACTCCAGCTCATCGGTGACCTGACTGATCTTGTTCATAACTTTATCCATCGGTGTCTCCTGGTCAAAAATGAAGTCCTGCAGCTGAGCAGTTTGGGTTTCTGCACCTCGTGCGCTGGCAGGCTGTCTGAGATTATTTAGCAGCGTAACCAACATTTTACTGGCATCCTCCTGGAAATCCAGTCTCAGATTGGAGGACATGTCTGTTATTCTTGCCTGCATGTCCAGGACCATCTGGGACAGTGTCTGCACCTCCTGCTCCAGGTGTTGTCCACCTGGAGATCCAACATGACCTGTTTGACCTCCAAACTGTCCCCCCATTCCCCAGTGGTAGTTCCTCTGGCCTTCTGTTTGATGTGCTGGAGCTGTAGTGACAAATTACACACAAAGGGTTAGGAAACAGTAATATTAATGTTTTTATTCTGACATTCATCCAGCAGTTATGTACAGTACTTGTTTAATGCTGTTTCACACATTTTCAAATTGAGATATAATAATGTCTTTTACCTTGTGGGACTGGAATATGTGCAGAGGGAGCATGATGTAAATGCTCTGCTTGAAGTAGCCTTAGGTCTTTCACCTCCATGCAGTCGTGGCCCTGGTATCCTGGGCAGCACCTCCACTCCAGCTCTGTTACAGTCTTATAGGCAATCTTGTACATGGGCTTAAAGTGTGTGCGATATCTGAAATCATCATACAAATGAAGACATGAATATATGGTTTCCTGAAGAATCACAAATACAGTAAAATGTCACACTTCTGCTCAGTAAAGTTATTTGCACAGATTGTCACTGGAATACAATTTAAACTTGGAATAACAACAACAAATCTTTTTGTTGACAAGTAAGACTAGATGAGCATCAGGTACAGTGAATTTATCATGCACTTAGAAGTATTGCTTCACATTATTAAAAAAAAAATCCTTGTTAAAATACATCTCTCAAGTTATAGGAACTTACATTACTTGCTGAGGACAGTTTGGCATGTCCGGTGGACATGGCAAAACCTCCGGCTGCACGAAACTCTCCGTGCCTCCCACGACGGCACAGCTCACTTGCTTGTACACAACGTATGCGCACCAATTTCTGCAGAAAATTACCGGTTATTCGATCCTGGAGTAGAGAGTTATGATGCGTTTCAACTGCATGGATTATGTCCCTACATGATTTACCGAAGGGCGATACGGATTACAAATCAATGTGCATTTCAAAAATGACACAAAGTACAGAACTCAAATGTACTCACTTATTTCTCTGTCGCGCCTCGGTGCCAGAGTATGCATCTCCCTGGAATAGGCTGTATTGAAAAGGTGATCCACTGATGAGAGGAAATGCTATTAGAAAGCGAATAAGTGGCAGTCCACTAAATCCGTGCTTCATGATTAAAATATTTACAAATCCGGTAATCAGCAGAGAATCCAGAGGTCCGTGGATGTTGTTCACTTTCTGTGGCGCACAGACCTAAACCAGCTCCGTCCAGCGTCACTGGATGTGACGTTTCGGGACCCTCTCCAACACTGACAGCTGCGTTTTCCAGTTTCTTCCCAAATCACACATCCACGCCCACATCCACCTCGCTTTTGGCATCACCCAGTGTCGTTGTGCTACAAATTACATAATGACGCGTAAATTTGGATAATGATTGTCTTTGTTTTTAAAAAGGACTTTAACTGGACAAATGCATTTCATGCTGATTGCTGAAGAATTGATTGCTCTGAAAATGCTGAAATGGTTGAAACCCATTGCCGAAAGAGCTGAAGGCTGAGATGCAATGCTGAATTAGAAATTAAATGGCTTAAAGTTCTAAAAGAATAAATAATTTTTACTGACATCTGACAGATATATTTTGAAGACAGACCAACTTGTGTCTGTGTGTGTGTGTGTCACTGTGCTACTGCACCTCTGTGTGTGTGCGACACTGTATTGCTTTGACTGTGTATGTTTGAGTGTTTGTTATTTTGTGTATGTGTGTGTGTGTGTGTGTGTCTTACTGTGTAGCCGTTTGTGCTGTACCATGTCAATTTTAATGTTTCTGTTTTAAGCAGCAGGTGGATAGCTTGGTGGTTAATACCCCTGCCTTTAGTAGAGCAGGTCAGGGTGCGGTCAATATCCAGCGCGGGTCCTTAGCAGGGAGGTAAACGAGAACACTACTGGAGGGACACCAAGTTGTGTTGGTTCCTTACACTACAAACCACATGCCCAGATAACATTAGCACCTAATCAGTCTTGTAACACAGCCTGTCACTTTTTTCTTTTATTTTCCTCTGCTGATATCTTTTGTGATGAGAGTTTGAATGTAATTTCTTTACTATCAATATTTAAACACTGCAGATCGGTTTAATTTTGACTTCTAAATAAGTCTGCAACTAATAATAATGTTGAAAAAACAGTCTCATCACAAGTTCCATTTAGCTGCTTTTTTGGAGCTTTTGATCCTATCATACAATCTCATTTGTCATGGAGCATTTGAACGCTTTTTGTTTAAGTTAAAGCTGTAGAAACCTGCGATCCCTGTGTCTTATACACCTGTTTACACTCTTCAGGTATCATGAATGGATGAAGTGTCCTGAGCTGCAGCATGTGACCATGTCAGAGCCACTGGAACAGGAGTACAACATGCAGGGGAACTGATTATACAGCAGTGGCTGGAAAGATAAATCTGAGAGAATGTATTTTACGTTTGTTAATTTATTCTAAGTTAGAGTAAAAAGGTTTTAACATTGAGGATTTTTACAATGCCTACATAAATAAGCTAACACACTGTCCAAATAACAGGTCAAATTGACCCACGAACATAACTGCTGAGCAGGCATCACCTGAGAAATGAACATAACAGGAGGGTTCCCTCCTGTTATGTTCATTTCTTCATATCAAATATTTGTCTCATTTAAAGCAGTTATGTTCGTGGGTCAATTTGACCCGCAACATAACAGGAGGGTTATTCATACTGAATATTATGGACTTTAGATTTTATTTTTTAAAAATGGTATGGATAAGCCTGAGGTTTGCCTAAAACATGTCGTAACTTTCCTTTTTACTGTTCCTTCTCCTGAGCACGCAGTAAGGCTGCCCTTTAGCGGTGGCACACAGCATTACACCAATCTTAACAAGTATGACCCATTACTGCCTGCTAGTCAAATGAATGGCAAATTAATGGTACAAATAGCATTGTATGTCCATGGTCACAATTTTTGTGATCATGTGTAGGAAATGTTTGTACGTAGAAACGTTTTTGAACGTGTGAATAAAATCTGTAAACAAATGATGTTACACAAAGAGACTGAAAACAAGCGTATTTGTGAACATCTGTGCACGAGCAGAAAGTAGCAAATTGCACATACAACTCAGTTTAGAAGTACTGAGTTTTAGTGTGAATCACACCTCAATTTGATTGGACAAAGATCAGAGGATATAGGATACAGAGCACTTGTAACCCAGGTTAACAAAGCCTTGTGAATAAAAGCCTGATAATAAAAGCAGTTTTGAATACAAACGAGTAAAAGTCAATAAATACGTTGATATGGCTAAATATGCACTTAAAGAAAATATATTGTAGTGATCCTTCACTTGGCATGTTATGATGTTCTAAATTGTTATGATTCCTTGATGGGTGTGGAGCTTCAGGGGTTAAGAGGTGTGAGAGCGGGAGGGAGAGAAGTGTGTGGGGGATTGGAGCTACGGAGGGTGTTAGCAGGTTGTTTCTTTTTCTTATTGTTGTTGGGCTGTTGTTTTGGCGTGGTTACGGCCAACAGTAACCGGTTGTGTGGAGTTAATAAAAAAAGCAACTATTTGTCGGCACTCAAGGTTGTCTTCCTTGTGTCCTGCGTGACGCTACATTTGGTGTCAGAAGTGAAACGCCGAAGTTACGCCTACCATTAACCATAGCCTCCGGCTTATCGGGCCTTGATACACACCTAACTAGATGGCAGCGCGACGGGTGAGGAGCCAGGCTGGAGTGCGAGTGACGGAGGAACTGCAGGATGGGGGTTATGCGGCGACGCCGGGGCATGAGAGAGGGTTTGACCAGTCTCCAGAACACGTAGCCCGCCTGAAACAGATGGCCAGGGGCCTAGCTGCAGATGCTGGTTTTGGAAAAACGGGGCCCGACGGCGGCGCT